TGTCTCTCGGCTGGCCTGGAAGCACCTCAGGATCTCACTTCAGATTTTGAGAAATGGTGGTGCTCAGGAACCTGAATGACTCTATTGCTGCCACAGTGCTGTCCATCATGGTAAGTGGGGGGAGTACAGGGGGTTACTCCTAAAGTCCATGATCATCTTCACTGTTTTGAGTGTGTTAAGCTGGTTGGTCACTGCACCAGACAGCCAGCTACTCAACCACCATCTGTAAGCAGACTAGTCTTTAACCTCGATGAGTCTGATTACTGTGGGGTCATAAGCGAACTTCAGGAGCTTGACAGAGGAGACTGTAAAAGTGCAGTCAGTTGTACACAGGGAGAAGGACACCAGTGCTGATAGTGACCCCCATAGCAAAATTTCTCTGGCCTAGATCTGGCCCACGCCATCTGCAGTTGCTTGGCCCACATGCCGCAGTAAATTAGGGTACATGACTGGACCAAGTCTGGCTTCCATACAAGAGGAAAACATGGACCACATCTAGGCCAAGTCTCAGCCAAGTTAAAAACCCATAATTGGGCCTGAACTGGGCCAGATATATTAGTGTGCCACTACTGCAATGTTTTTTATAAACCCATAAAGCATTTTGCTTCATGGCTGTGCTTTTCTTAAAGCGACCTGATTGATAGAATCTTTCTTCACTCAAAAACAATTCAAATGTATTTTAAAAGTGGGTCAAGATATGCCAAACTTATGTGGCCCACATATACATTTTAACATCTGGGCCAAATACTACATTTGATATCTGTCCCAAGTCTTGAGTGCCGCCTGTAAGACAGTGCCACCTCAGCCTGACCTGGGCAATGTTTGGCCCACAAGCTGTATGCCAGTGCCAGACGAATGCCTGCTGTGCCAGCCTTATGCCGAATCTGGGCCAGAATTATTTGCTCCCGGGAAGAGATTTTTATTTATCCAGAGTTTACCCAGCTTCACTAGCTGCTGTCTGTCTGTCAGGAAGCTGGTGATCCACTAACAGGTGATAGAGGTAGAGAGCTGAGTCAGTTTGTCAGAGAGGAAATCAAAAGTATATTTAAATGGCTTTTAGAAACCCTATGTCTGAAAAGTAATTTAATTACTGCACTTAAAAACCAAATACATTTATAACATTCTTTTTTGAAGTTATAGGATTTATACTATGAAGAAATAAGCAAACATACCTAAACTGATGGGACAGAAAGAGTTACTCAACAGCCGAAACCAGAATCTCACTATGGCTGAAGGAGAGGGAGGAAAGATGAAGAGTATTTGGGGAGGGGCTTCGTTTAGCCTCCATTTATGAAGTACTGTTCATTCTTGTCCTCTTGTAACTTTCTGTCTGTCTCTGATTCTGCTTGTTGAAGCTCTTCATCATCTCGGCGCTCTGTAAAGTTCATCTGCACACTTCAACAACCAAGCTAAAGTAGAGGTGAGTGTCTTTTCCCTCCTGGATTTTTTTATAAAATTGTCTTGGAATTCTATCAGAGTGGACACAAAGATGGACATACTGTGGACAATTCCTCTATTTTCCATGACTGTTTGTTATTATCACTTCTGAATAAATTATTGGATTAGAATAAAAGTTTAATTCATGATGATATTTTTTACAGACAGATTAAAAAAAGTTATTTATCTGAATAACTTCAACTGGACAAACACATAGTTAAAACGTGCACCTTTTCCATTTATTGACATTGAATTAATAACTGATTAAGCATATCTGTTTCAGACTGTGAATGTGTTTGGACAGGTTGTGCTTTAGTCCAGCTTGTGTGTGTCTCTACAGCTGTGCACAGCATTCGAACAGAGAGCCGAACCCCTGTGGTCCAGTGCCTGCTATGAGGCTAATGTAGGGTGAAGGAATGGACTTAAAAAGAGTTCACGCTGCTTAACATTGTTTTCAGTCCATCAGCACAATAAGTGTCCTGCAGACTGAACCATTTACTAATTGATTTGTTACATAAGTAATATCAAACCATTCATTTTCCTCTTAATTATAGTAAATTCTCATTCATTTTAGTGTTTTCTGTTTTAGTATTAGCTGCAACAAAAACATTGAAACAATGAGGTATCGTCGAAAAGTGTTCTGGTCACTCTTTACAATAAGGTTTCATTAGTTAAAGTATTTACTAACATGAGCTAAATATGAACAACATTTGTACAGCATTTATTAATCATAGATCAACATTTACTAATGCATTATTGACATCCTAATTCATGTTTGATAACATTAGTTAATGCACTGTGAGATAACGTAAATAACAATGAACAGCTGTATTTTCATTAACTAACATGAACAAATACTGTAATAAATGTATTGTTGATTGTTTGTTCATGTTAGTAAATAAATTAACCAACATTTCCCACACGGAAAGAACCTATATGTTTTATTATAGGTCTTGATATAGGCTTTTAATATATGTGATATACATAAAATTGGCCGTTTTCCTATAATATGAAAATGGCCAATTTTACAAATATCACTAATATTTAAAACCTATATTGAAAATTATTTGTTTTTATAGGTTCTTTCCATGTGGGCTCATTTATTTTGCCATAGTTAAATTCCATAACAGGCCAATTACATGTGATACCAATTTCAAGTGTTTGTACACGCATACGTTTTTTTAAGTTTTTTTGTTATTGCCCTAATAATAGAAAATATGAGCTAAGCATCATGTATGACAGTTGCCAAAGTGAGACATGAGCTACATAGAAGACATATCTTGTATATACATATATGACTTACAGTACATGTGGATATAAAGAAGCAATACAGGAGACCTACATGGCACATATATGCACCTCAATTTTGCCTAAATGTAGCATATATACGTATATATGCAGTGTGTTATCATATACTGTATGTGCATATATGTTGCATATAGGTTTCATATATGCACATATATCGTTATAAAGGTTCTTTCCATGTGGGTGACTAATAAAACCTTATTGTAGTGTTACCATTGTTGTGATATTTTGAACATGGTTCTTTTTTTAATATCCCCTAGTTGACCCTCTACTGCATGCATTATGATAGATCTATAAAAAATATATATACAGTTGAAGTAAGAATTATTAGCTCCCCTGAATTAATAGCCCCCTTGTTATTTTTTTCCTCAATTTCTGTTTAACAGAGAGAAGATTTATTTTTTTCTACACATTTCTAAACATAATAGATTTATTAACTAATTTCTAATAACTGATTTATTTTGTCTTTGCCATGATGACTATATTATTATTATGTAAATAATATTTGACATATTTTTCCAGACACTTTTACAGCTTAAAGTGACATTTAAAGGCTTAACTAGGTTAATTAGGTGAACTAGGCAGGTTAGGGTAATTAGGCAAGTTATTGTATAACAGTGGTTTGTTGTCTGTAGACTATCAGAAATAAAATTAGCTTAAAGGGGCTAATTATTTTGACCTTAAAATGGTGTTTAAAAACTCAAAAACTGCTTTTATTTTAGCCGAAATAAAACAAATAAGTGCGAGGCAGTGGCGCAGTAGTAAGAAGGTCGCTGGGTTGCTGGTTCGAACCTCGGCTCAGTTGGTGTTTCTGTGTGGAGTTTGCATGTTCTCCCTGCCTTCGCACGGGTTTCCTCCGGGTGCTCCGGTTTCCCCCACAGTCCAAAGACATGCGGTACAGGTGAATTGGGTAGGCTAAAAGTGTCCGTAGTGTATGAGTGTGTGTGTGTGAATGTGTGTGGATGTTTCCCAGAGATGGGTTACGGCTGGAAGGGCATCCGCTGCGTAAAAAACTTGCTGGATAAGTTGGCGGTTCATTCTGCTGTGGCGACCCCGGATTAATAAAGGGACTAAGCCGACAAGAAAATGAATGAATAAAAACAAATAAGATTTTCTCCAGAAAAAAAAAAATATCAGACAAACTGTGAAAATTTCCTTCTCTGTTAAACATAATTTGGGAAATAATTTAAAAAATCAAAAGGGGCTAATAATTCTGACTTCAACTGTATATTTGACTGTTTTTCTTTTCCTAAAATGGCTTAATTTTGGAAAAAATTCTTTTTTTAAGGTACTTTATGATATGCTGCCATATGGCAACAACGTCCAACAGTGGATCTTGCTTAAAAATTTCAAATTTACGACTTATAATTAAGTAATATTTTGTTGTTTGAAATGATTTAATTGGTGTTGCAGTATTGAAAGCTTTAACACAGAACTTATAAATGACACCTAAAACATACTTTTCCACCATTCATATTCCAACAGTTTTCATTTATTCCATTCTTTTTTGCTGAATATTATTAAAAACAAACATAATATTGTATCATCATGTAAAGAACATACATTAAATATAAATATTTTAACAAATAAATAACAAGTCTAGCATATCCAGATGCAACAGAATAATGCAGCTACTAGCTAAAAATGTTTATAAATTATACTATAAACTACTATGTTTGTCTTATCTGCCTCAGAGCTAATTTACCTGAACTGTCTTCATCACTGCTCTTATCAAATGTCCAATCTGCATCATTCTCATGGTCCCTAAAACCCATCTCATCCTTACTTTCATCTGCAGGAAGAGCCAGTTCTGTCCTTTTCTTCTTTTACTTACCAAAGAACATGGTGGTGCTCGCTAATACACTGCTCCCTGTATTCATATATATTCAAAAGTAGCATTACCATTAAAACTAGATTTTGTCATTAATGCAAATGCCATTAACCTACAACTAATCAACATTATATTACTAGCTTTCATGTTGTTATTGTTACAACTTAAAATATCACTCCTTTCTTGCTAGCTAGCTAAACTATTGCAATATTGCATTTTCCACTATTGCACTGTGTTGCCATTTGGCAACACACACATTGGATCGATTTACAAAAAAACTAATTTGATCAAATCTTTTTTGAGTGATGAATAAGTCATCATAATTTACTGGAGGTGATGTTTCAGAATTTTTGTGGATCTGACATAATTTGATCCTTTGTTTTTATTGACATTTTCATTTGCATTCAGCAATTACTCACAATACACACCAGTCTGTCAGAAATCACGCTACAGAAAAACACTGCATGTCATGAGACTTAATCAAAGCACATTGGCTCCACTATGGTCTTCTTTTTCCAACAAAAAAAATTCAATGTTGGTCTTAAAGAAACAGTGGCAGGGAAATGAACATATATATCATGTTGCCATACGGTAGCACCGTGTCGAAGAGGATTATTATCAATCTAATACAATAACTTTTGCATTACTAATTAGTATCCAAAGATTGTAACGATTTTGCTGCTTAATATTTTTGTGGAACATTTTTCCTCAGGATTTAGCGATTATAAATGTTGATTAAACATGTCTTTTTAGAATAAAACAATAACAAAAAAACTTTATAAAAACTCCAGTCTTTTAAACAAGTAAATGTCTTCAAATGAACAATGTTTTATTGTCTGAGAATCCAGGTGACAATGAAGTTTGATAATATTCTGGATGAGACAGATGGCTTTGGCCGATACCAGATTGCACTTGTTATGCTGCTGTTCATACCTCGCATCACAATTCCGTGTCACTTCCTACTGAACAACTTCATCGCTGCCATCCCGTCTCATCACTGCGACATCAGCTCTCTGGATGCCGACGGGCTCGGGAATCTGACTCAGAAGGAGAGACTGATTGTAAGTGTTCCAGCACAAGAAGATGGGACTCCTGCTTCCTGTCACATGTTCGCACATCCTCAGTTTCAATTGCTGATAAACTCGTCCAGCAGCTCAGCTCTTCCAGTAGTGGAGTGTCAGAATGGATGGCACTTTGATAACAGCACCTTCATCAGCACTCTCGCCACACAGGTAAAGCTTTAAGAGGGTTTATCCAGTGGTTCATTCATATTATTCATACCACTCACATTTTTATTTTATTTTAACAACCACCCTCTTTATTTCCTTCTTTGTATCAGTTTGATTTAGTTTGTGACAAGAGGGGACTGGCCAAAGCATCAGCCACCATATTTTTTGTGGGTGTCATGTGTGGAGCTGTGTTCTTTGGAGTGCTCTGTGATAAGTAAAGCACAAACAGACTTCATATAACTATTAAGAAACTTTATAAATTTATAAAAACTTTAAACTAAAAACTTTTAAATCCTTGTAAAATACCAATAACAACTTTATCCTTATGTTTAAATATTTGCTCTTCACACACAGCAGAATCTAAGCAATACTGGAAATGTGCTTTCTGACTGCTCATTCTAAAAATTGAAAGAATAAAATGTCTGCTATTTTTAAAACAGGCCTGTTCACACATGATCTGTTTGTGGCTATTAACCTGTAATTTTCCAGAAAAATAGTCAATATGTGAGACTTTAAACTCCTAAAGTAAGCATAAAGTGGACATTGCATTGTTGTAACTTTATATGTAACTTTAGCTCCTTCCTCCATAAAATTACCAGAACAACTTTACCAGTATATTAAAAAATGTGCTTTTAAGGTTATTTTATTTAACGATATGAATGAAAAAACGGAAACTAAAATTTTAAATAATTTTCGTTAACTGAAATAAAAATAAGTTTTTTGTTTAAAATAGAACTGACAGAAACTGTATTGTGTACATATCTAACTGAAACCTACTAAAATTAGCCTATAGGAAAAAACTTTTCCTACCCGTACAGCACCGCAGAGTCTGTAATCCTGCTGCCATTGACCAGATTGAGACAGTTCTTCTCTAGTCATCCTCGCTGTTGCTTCCACGACAAAAACTAGTGGACATGGCAACAGCATATTTTACTTAAGACTGCTAGCTTGTAGGATGTTGTGTTTGAATTTGAGGATGTATAGGTGGGGGTGGTAGATAATAGTGGCCATGTGTCCTCTGACACGTTTAAAATAGATATATGGTTGAGTTTTTATTATACAATATTTATTCTGATGATTTTGAATCTTGCACCTAACAAATATCCTAATAATAAAAAAAACTAATAGAGAAACTAATATAAACTAGTAAATGTGCTTCTAAGAACTAATTAAAACTCTATTTGAAAAAAAAAAAACATTTGATTTACACACAGCAGAATTCTGACAATTTACTGCTAATATTACAAGATTTTACAAATATTTTAAAGACTTTGGCCTGTTCACACATGATCTCTGCATAGAAAAATTATCGCAAATTTTTGGTAGTAAAAGTGTGAAAAGGGCTATTGTCTTATCTGTTGTGATTTATAATCCTTAAATGTGCTCTCGAGCATAACAGCATTAAGGATGGGTTTTAATTTTGTGTGATTGTAGCTGTTCCTGTGCTCTTATGTTTGTGTTTAGACCATCTCTGCAATTAATCGACATCAAATTGACAGATAACATTATTAAAATAACTTTTGTTATAGTCTGATTCTAAACTATATTTAGGCTATAGAGTCTATACAATTGTCTGTGTGAGACTATAATATAGAGAGATTACAGTAATAGCTCTTTCTGCATCATCCATGAGTAAACATTGCATTCTTTTGATTTACAAGCAATAACAATAATTATTTTACAGGCTTTCAGTGGCTGCATCTGAAAGCTTTAAAAGGCTGCATTGGGAGGCAGTATTATAAGGCGGGAAGGCATCAAGGCACAACTAAATCCAAACTCTGCTTTACTCTCTGTTTTGGGTGCTACCTTTATCTGATCTCATTTTGGAGGCAGAATAAATGTATACTTCGACTTTAAAACTCTGTTCAATGGAGTTCTGTCACTATAAATAGATACACAATAGATTCATTGTTCTAGTGGAGCTCAGTGAAAGCAGCAAAGTGATTACTTGTGTTATTTTTCAGGTATGGTCGGAGGAGCATGTTGCTGGTGTCTTATGTGTTTTCCATAGTGTTCAGTGTTACCAGCGCTTTCTCAAGCTCTTACATCATGTTTGCTGCCTTTCGCTTCCTAACCGGTTTAGCACTGACAGGAATCAGCAACATATCAGTGGTACTCAGTAAGTTATATCTGAAAATCTTTCTTTTTTTTGCTCAGATTTTGATACATTATGTTATGCATTAAGCTTAATCATGACACTATGGCGTGGGTGAAGCAGTGGCGCAGTAGGTAGTGCTGTTGCCTCACAGCAAGAAGGTCGCTGGTTTGAGCCTTGACTCAGTAGGCTAACTAACCCAGCCGAGGCTTGAACCAGCAACCTTCCTGCTGTGAGTTGACAGCACTACCTACTGAGCCACTGCGTTGCCCTTTATAAAGTTAACATAACTCATTTTTTTGAGTAAACGGTACTGAAGTTTACTTTATTAAAAAGTTGTCAATAGAAACTTTTTAAGTTATGCTTGCTTAAAATTAATACACTGTTTTACTTAGACATTCTTAGGCAATCAGTTTCCTAAATTTTTCTAATTATGCAACAACAAAAAACATATATTTTAGGATTTAGATCAACAGCACAATTTAAATTTCTATAATATCTGATGATTATTGCATGTATTACATTTTTTGTTAAACTTAACTGGCGCTCTAGGCAAATGACGGTCATGCTGCTCTCATGATAGGGTGGTGTTGCAGTCAATATGAAGAGCGTGGGGGGTTGTCCCGGGCAAAAGTGAAAAACCGGAGTGGAAAGGGGATTGGTCTTGGCTCGGGATCACCTACATTGCCCATGCCTAAATCCGCCACTTTACTAGTTCACCTCTGTAAATCTTAATTTGTCATAACTCAGTATCTATCATAACTCACCCTTCACTTGTTAAAATCCATATGACCAAACATTGTGTAAATTAAACAGAGTAATGGTAACCAACAGTTCCATACTGTTCGTAGTTCTATTAAAGTTAGATCACAAATCAAATCTGACAAGTGTTACTATGCACAAGCAATTGCAATGGGATGTATACTGTATGTGGAATGTGTTGAAATATGGTAATGTTTTGTGAAATTTATTTTCTATTAATTACAGGTATTGAGTGGGTGGACACTAAGCACCGCACATTTATGGGTCTGTTCGGCAGTATGTCCTGGAGTATAGGCAACATGCTTCTGGCTGGTTTTGCTTTTATGGTCACTGATTGGAGGCTGCTGATTGTTATTGTCACTGCTCCTCTTTTTCTTGCTACAGCCACCTGGTGGTAAGGGGAAGCAATTACATGTTATTTTTTTATAGTGGGGGATATTTTTTCATTGTTCCTCTCACAATTATTCCACCATTAATTAAACATCCTTTGTCATCAATGGCCATAGCTTTTACATTTTCCTTCCTTACATTATAACATTTATTTTCTTTATTAAAAAGAGCTGTCATTCCCATTGCAAATGATTTTCTTAAGTATCTCTTTTATTATTATGTTTGCATATTTTGGATTATGTTACATAAATTTAAATATTTAAAAATAATAATTTCATTATTAAAATTACAACAGAAAAAGAATTGTGCAGTTTTTTTCAAATCAAATTTAATAAAACATGTATCATTTTAAAGGTAGTTTTTTGTTGTTGTTGATGACATTAAGTCATTTTTAGGTAGTATGTTCTCAATTTAGTTAATTTATTATTATTATTATTATTATTATTATTATTATTATTATTATTATTATTATATTAACTTATATTGAAGGTTTTTATATTGAAGATCATGCTATTATGCTACCCACTGCGCCACCGTGACACCCTAAAATAATATTATCTAAATATTTTAAACAATATCCTTTTTAAAATGAAATATTGAGGCGACAAATGTTAATATTTTTACAGGTGGATCCCTGATTCAGCACGGTGGCTAATAGCCAATGGAAAGACAGAAACAGCATACAAGTATCTGCACAAATGTGCCACTTTTAACCAGAGACTAGACTTCACATCAAGAGTCAAGCCAGAGGTAAATAAGATCCCATTTACCGTCTTTGTTATGTGCAATCATTTAAATGTCTGCAATGATTATTATAAAAAAACATGTAAAACACTTTCCATCTCAGACTCTGTCCACTGTAGTGACTGTGGATCACCGCGGTCACAGTTACACTTACTTAGACCTAGTAAAAACTCCACAGCTGAGGAAACTCACACTCTTCACAGGAATAGTGTGGTACGTGTTTATGCATGTGCAATTATAAGTACTGTATTTAAAGAAGCAAAAAACCTACATTCATCCTCTCTTTATATTCTGCAGGTATGGAGTTGCTTCTACATACTACGGCATCAGCTTAAACATCACAGGCTTTGGGCTTGATCCCTACCTGACACACTTCATTTATGCTGCCATAGAGGTGCCAGCGAAAATCCTCGTCTACTTCAGCCTCAACAAGGTGGGCCGCAGGAACACTCAGACTGGGACACTGGTGCTCACAGGATTCTGCATACTCATCAACATCATCACACCTACAGGTTTGCAGATACAACGTGTCATTACAGTTTAAAACTAGGCAGCTTTTTAGTCTCAAGTGCACTTTAAATCAGTGTTTCTCCACTAAACAACAGCGCTTCTGAAATGCAAGGTTGAAACCAGCAGGAAAAAACAATCCTATATGTACCTCATAACAAGTTCAAATTACCATGTCATTTACATTGTAAGTATAGCAAAATATATACATGCGTCATCTTATTTATAGAGTGCACGCAGGCAGTTTGAGTGACTAACAGATGACAATAAACTAAAAGTTAATAAAGCTTAAATTTTCTTATTCTCACAGCTGAATTTTACAACTTAATTTCTCTAGTTAGCTTATCTTTATTTTTTTAGTTCCTGTACCTTTATCTCCTTGTAAAAAAAAGAACAAACACTTAGGCTGCGCCGGAAACTGCCTACTCAGTAGGTACTGTATTTAAATTTATATGTACTACTTGGCTGTAAGAAAAGTACATTCTATACACTATGAATGTCAGTGGTATAAATGGAACTCAGACGTACTACATCCCTCATTTTGTCATGATAACGAACCCACATCAGTTGCGTCGCTTCACTCACATTCAAAGAGCATCATGTGATAGCGCAGCATCCATCCGATGCACACTTCAGTATCTTGCTGGTAGTAGAGGGTGATCAGGGTACTTGCTTTCTGATTTTCGAATTCTATGAATTCGGACATGCTACTCGGCTCACATACTGTTTTTAGTGTACTATATAGTATGGAAGTATATGCCATTTTGGACGCATCGTTTCACACGTTCAGCCTTCGATCCACATAATCAATTTGATTTGGGACAACTTGAAGAAATTAAATTAATATATTAGTTTTTACAAATTTAAGTGCATTGAACATAAAACAATTAAGTTTAGTCCCCCAAAAAACCCTCAAGAATTTAGGAACTCAAGAATTTCAGCTCGTTTTAAATAAGTAGTTTGAACAAACAGTAAACATATTTTTTTGAGTGTACTTAGTATCCCACCTAATTATCACAACTTATGTTTTATAGTTATCAGCTGTTATAGTTACAACAATTGTAATAGTTTAATAGCAAAAGTATTTTATTTTAGTTGAAAGAAGACCTTTTTTTCATTATCACAACTTTTCTCATTCTCATTATGGTCAATGCTGTTTTTAACTAACAGAGAATCTACACTTAAAAATTGATTCATGAATAATTCAACAGTTTCCAGTATTTTGTGATTCATGGTTGTTTTCTGTTAATTTACGCCTTCAAATTGTATCATATAAGACATCAAATAAAAGTGTAGCCTGATTTACTCTTACTGACTTACTCTTTTCCATGATTATGTTTTTGTATTTAGAATACTGGACATTTCGGACTGTAATTGCAGTGTTAGGGAAAGGACTATCAGAGGCTTCATTTACGACGGTGATTTTGTACACCACTGAGCTCTATCCTACAGTCATGAGGTCAGCATATAATGCTGTATGTCCCTTTATAAATGATTAACTCAATTGATGTTGGAAATGCTACTGCCGTTTGTCTTTCACATTGGTAGGCAGAATGGTCTTGGCTTCACCAATTTCATGGCACGTATGGGAGCATCCATTTCTCCTCTTATTATGCTCCTAGAAGACATTTGGAAGCTCCTCCCTGAGGTTATTTTTTGCTCGATGGCTATTTTTTGTGGTATCATAGCATTGCTTCTTCCTGAAACCAACAATGCAAGTCTGCCAGAAACTGTAGAAGATATTGAGGACATGAGGTATAAGAAGTTCTCTCAAAGTACATTTTGTGATACAATAGAAAGTATTTTTTTGCTGTTTTTGTTTGTTTGTTTCTTTGTTAAATCAAATTAACTTTATGAGTCTATTTAACTTATATTATGTAAAACTGACTTAAAACGTAATTGCGTAATTTATAAAATTAGGTTAGAACATTATTAACTTAAATTAATAAGTAACAATGAACTAAAAACATATGGTGTCATAAAAAATTTATCATAAAATATTTTACAGTGTGCTACAGTATGTTGTTTGTCTTTTTGTTTATTAATTTTCCTTATTATGTATCTTTTGTAGAAAGAAACCTGTCTATTTCACAACAGCGGATCAAAGTGCCATGCCTTTAAAGTTGCCCCTCACAGCAGACACAACACAATAATCTGATACAGACAAGCTGTCATTTGCTCATAAGCTGTACTTGACATCAATAATCAATAAAATTAATGATAGTACAGACTGTCTTACTTGCTTTCTTACCTGTAGGATTAAAGAAATGTCATCAGTGCAACTTTTAAAAATAAATAAATCTGCTTCTCCTTGATTCTGAATGGCTGATCCATTTTGAAACTCTTCTGTGATTTTGTCTACATCAGTTGATTTTAATTTTGAGACCAAGCTCCTCCTTACAATTCAGGCAATGAGTTGATAGGCATGTTTCTGTAACTTGAAGTGCAAAAAATAATGTATTTTAAAGTTTTCTGCTTCAGGTATTTTACTGTTTGTCTGTTGAGTTGAACACTGTGCTCCAATCTGGTCTGATTTAAAGTCTAAAAACACTGCCAGAGATAATAAAATATGTGTGTGAGGAAATATCGAATAAGCCTGTTTCGTGTTTAGAAATTAAATAACAAATTAATTAAAAAAATGACATGGGAACAGATGGGAACACTTTCTGTATACAGTAGTATTAGGCAAATATTGTATTTTTGTAGTACCTACTTGCATACATACTGCAGTTGAGGGTGATGATGAATGAATGACAACATAATAATAATTTATTAAACGTTCATGCCGCAGTGGAATGAACTGCCAACAACTCTGCCATATGTTTTACACAGCGGATACCCTTACAGCCACAAGTACTCCATTTTGTGTTAATTCTATAACTGTTGTGTTAATATATCAACTGGTAATATAACCATATTACCCAATACTGTACTAAGCTTTCTATACCTATATTCATAATGCTACACAATTTGTTGTATACAACAGTATTTCTTACAATTAATCAGTTCACAGAAGTTGATAATGTACATCTGTAAAATTGATTAATAATGAGATGTAAATACTATAATCTATGCAGTCTATGCATATGTTTTTATAATCAAAGGATAGCATTAAGTGATTGAAATTATGTTAAGTTAATGCATAAAAATTGCCTTTAATAAATGTTTTGTGTAGAAATCCCTTTATAAGAGCAGTCAGCTCAGTGTAGCTGTGGTTTATAGATGTTTAGTTAGTCTCTCTCTTTTCAAAGTCTCATTCTGAGTACACAGCACCATGGACAGCACCCATTAGTGCCAGCATTAGTATGTAGGCTGTGTGTACCCTGGACAGCTTATTATATCCCTGAATTTGACCTGAATATATCCCTGTTAATAAGATGTGAAGGTGTCAACAGTCCACAACCTGAGCCTATTCAGCAACTGTCACCAAAAACAAGAAAGATGGCAGTTACTGAATCATTAGCAAGCAAAACACAAACAGTTAAAATTGTAAACATTATTAGCCTTCCTGTAAAACTATTATTATTTAAAAAATGTTTCCTGAGTGCTGTTTAAAACATTTTTAAAAATAATTGTTTCATTAACTGATTTAGAATAGCTAATTTATTTTGTCTTCATCATGGAGACAGCAAATAAAGGCTTTACTAGGCTAATAAGGTCAACTATAGGCAAGTTATTGGATGACAAGTAGTTTGTTCTGTTACCAATCAAAAATCTTAATTTTAAGGGGGCTAATAATTTTGACCCTAAAATTGTTTTAAAAATGGAAAACTGATTGAATTCAGCCAAACTGAAACAAAATAAGACTTTCTCCAGATTAAGATTTTCTCCAGATTAAAAATATATCCTTGCCAATATTTTTGTGCTAACATCACAAGAAATGTAAAAAGATTAACATTATACAGGAGGGCAAATAATTTCGGATTCAATTGTATATCTAATTAATTTGATTCTGTTTTTATTAGTGAAATCATATTCTGTGTGTATTCTTTATCTTTTCCATATTCTGTAACTTTCAGTCTACACAAAATACCTTGTCACATTCAGAACTTTTTTTCTTTTGTAAACATTTTAGCTCATTATCTCAACTTAACTGGCATGGTTTGAAAGAAGTTTTTCCTGTGAAAAAGCTTTGACTAAACTTTGATGGACCTGAACATAACTGATTTCAGTTGCTGCATGTACAGTCCTAACCTGTAGATGGCAGTAAAACAGATTATGGTGAATGAACTAAGGAATATGTAAGGAATTTAAGGAATATGTGACAACAAATTGTCTCTTTCCCAGCCTAGTGCTGTCAAGTTGCATCACACCAGATGACTGTGCAAAGCTTTGAGCAAAGTTCAAAATTGTCAGTAAAGGAGAATATTCTCTTCAAGAAGCAACTTTTTCTTTTTACAAAAATATTAAGCAGCACAACTATTTTCAACATTGATAAAAATAAGAAATGATTATTGAGTGTCAAATTAGCATAAAAAGTGTATTTTTGAAGGATTTTCTGATCAATACTGAAGAAATTGTTAAAAAAAAATTTAGCATCACAGAAATAAAATACATTTTGCAACACATTCAAATAGAAAATTATTCTTTCAGATTTTAATATTAACTCAATATAATACCGTTTTTACAGTTTTAATCAAATCCACCATCTTAATTGACCAAAATTATGGTTCACATATGATATATAATATAATATAATATAATATAATATAATATAATATAATATAATTTAATATAATATAATATAATATAATATAATATAATATAATATAATATAATATAATATAATATAATATAATATGGCTTGTCAAGATGGCGCAGTGGGTAGCACAATCGCCTCACGGCAAGAAGGTTGCTGGTTTGAGCCCTGGCTGGGTCAGTTGGCGTTTCTGTGTGGAGTTTGCATTTTTTTCTCCATGTTGGTGTGGGTTTCCTCTGGGTGCTCTGGTTTCCCCCATAGGTCCAAAGACATGAGCTATAGATGAACTGAATAAGCTAAATTGGCCGTAGTGTATGCGTGTGTATGCAAGAGTGTGTAGGTTATTGCCAGTGATAGGTGACAGCTGAAAGGGCATCCGCTGCATAAAACATATGCTGGATAAGTTGGTGGTTCATTCTGCTGTGGCGACCCCTGATTAATAAAGGGACTAAGCTGAAAACAAAATGAATGAATAATATAATATAATATAATATAATATAATATAATATAATATAATATAATATAATATAATATAATATAATATAATATAATATAATATAATATAATATAATGTAATATAATAGTCTGCCTTTGCCCTCAGTTTGACTACACATTGTCCAACGCTGGCAAATTATTAAGCAGTAAGAAATTCATTCAAAAGTCTAGTAAATTAACAGTCCCTCCACTATGGTTTAAACATTGTGTTAGATGTTAATTTACTTGAGGAAAACACTAATGTACTGTACAGTCTGTGAGTTTGAACTATCCATGTATGTTTGTAAATTATATCAGCTGTTTGTTTAAGTTACAAAAATTAAAAAATAACATAAAAAAATTACCTATATGTGCACTGTATGTGTTTGTGAAAAAGAGATTAAGAAAAATCCGTATGAATGTCTTTCATAGCAGTACATGAGAGGTTAATGATCTACATCAGAGCAGTGAATGTCCAAGTTTGGAGAAGCTCAAGTCCATATCACCCTCATTGCTGCTTCTGATTCGTATCAGAGGAATTGATCACCCAAGATGAAGTTTGAGAACCTGTTGGCTGAGGTTGGAGGATTTGGAAAATACCAGTTCTGCCTCATGGCTCTTCTGGTGATTCCAAGGGTAACGCTGCCATGTCACTTCCTGCTGAACAACTTTATCGCCGCCATCCCATCTCATCACTGCGACATTAGCTCTCTGAGTGCTGATGGCATCTTTGGGAATCTGACTCAGGAGGAGAGACTGACTGTGGGTGTTCCAGCACAGGAAGACGGGACTCCTGCTTCCTGTCACATGTTTTCTCATCCTCAGTTTCAGCTGCTGATAAACTCCTCCAGCAGCTCAGATCTTCCAGTAGTGGAGTGTCAGAATGGATGGCGCTTTGATAACAGCACCTTTAAATCAACCTTGGCTACTGAGGTAAGTCTCTTTATTCACTTTACTTTTATTTATATGCATAACTAGATGCTGTAAATAATGCTCAGTGTGGTATCCACAGTCTTTAAAAACCTTAATGGATGTTAAAACTGAAGTGTGCTGTTTTTATTCAAGTGATTGATTGATTGATGAATTAATTAATTGATTGATTGATTGATTGATTCATTCATTCATTCATTCATTCATTTTTGACCAAAGGCCATTCAGTTTATGTAATCTCCTTTTGTAATGTTTGTAGTGTACTTTAGCCATAAAACAGTTTGTAATTCTTCCTTGTGTCTAATTCAGATCATCGCTGTAAATCACAGATAAAAAACTGAAAAACTCTGATATGTCTTCATCTCTCAGTTTGATTTGGTGTGCGACAGAAGAGGTCTGAATAAAGCCACAGCGACCATTTTCTTTGCTGGGGTGATGATTGGAGCGGCCATCTTTGGGTGGTTGACTGACAGGTGAGTCCTATATTAGACCTCAAGAGGTGAAGTAAATGACAATGAATGACCACAAATTTATAATCTGAAGTTAGTATGTAAAAACATGTATACAAATAATTGTCCTACCAATTAAATGAGTGTACCTCTCAAATAATATGAAATTACAGTACCTAAAACAAATAAGTGAAATTGTACTAAGTGCGACAAAAACACTTCAAAGTACAATATATGTAGTCGATTTGTGAGAATGAATCAGACTTTTCAAACTAACATCCATATGAAGGATCATTTTAGATGAACTGACTGTCTAGAATGCATTACTATATGTAACTTTAAACTCTACACGAATTAGCATTTGGCATAGCATGTTACACATACAGTATTGTAGATTCTCTCCTATGTTTTGTTTCTGTTTGTTTCAGGTTTGGTAGGAAACGAATGCTGATGTTGGCTTACCTGATATCCATTACATTTGGGGTGGCCAGTGCCTTCGCTCAGTCCTTCATCGTGTTTGCTATTATGAGGTTCTTCACTGGAATGGGCCTTACAGGCATCAGCATCATCTCCATTGTCCTGTGTGAGTGCTTTTTGAAATGACTGAACCTGGACAGATTAATTCATATGTATTTTATAATTAATATATTTAATTCACTGTATTTATTTGCAATCATATGAAGAGTTCAGAAGCAAAAAATCTCAGCCATTTGATAGTTACTTAAAAAAATGTGCATTTTTATGCAGACTCCTGTCTGTAGGC